CAATATAATGTTACAAAATACATTTTACATAATAAAATAAAATAAAATAAAATGAAATGAAATGGGACTCAAAATGCCCCTAAACGTTTGAATTAAGAGCCTGTTTGGTAGGAATTTTTGGGAAAAGAATTGATTTTTGAATAATGATATGATGAGAAATGTGTGGTTGAAAAAGAAGAAAAAATTATTGATATAATAGAAAATATTATTTTATTGAAAAATAGGATTGAAATTGAGAATTGATTTATCAAAATCATGTTCGCTAGTTTTTCTTTTAAACTTCTTGATCTCAAAATCTTGCAGACCTATCCGTCCTTCCATCTATGAGTTACCAGCACACTAGAACGCAAGGTAACGTCAGAGTGCATTGCAAAGTGTTTGTGTCCAGGATCGTGCAACGATAGTTGGCACTTTGACACAAATCGTAAATCCGCTTGTGTTGGAGAGACAAAATGGAAAGAATTTGATTTCAGTTATGCGGAACAGCTCCGCACTGCACTGGCTCTGCAACAGCACCACAAATTTCTGCGTGGATGTTTAGCGACAGATGCAAAAATAAAGAGAGAAGAAAAGGGTAAACGAAGATCCCTCAGAATAATGGCGTCTAAAGAAACCTGCAGAATCGAACTCCGTTCCGCCGTACGACTCCTCAGTGACCGTTGTCTCTACTCTGCTTCCAAATGGTAAACCCTAAACGGCTAAACCCCTTTTGAAAGAACCCATTTTTTGTTCAATCACAATTCCCCCATTAAACATCCAAATATTTCATTTTTAATTTTCACGTTTCATTTTTGAAGGGCAGCGGAGCAATTGATGGGGATAGAGGAAGACCCTGCGAAGCATACCCCTTCGCAAACGCGATTCCAGCGTGGAAGCTCCAGCATCCGCCGCCGGTTCCTAAATGCTGCGGCCGCCGACTCCTTCTTGTGGCCATGCCGTCGATGGCGGGTGCAGAGGAGTATGATTTTGATGCTATTAATAATGATTTTTATTTGCTAGCAAAGTCTTACTTTGACTGCAGAGAATACCGCCGGGCGGCCCATGTGCTCCGGGATCAGATAAGCAAGAAAGCGGTCTTCTTGCGCTGTTATGCGCTATATCTGGTTGGTTTTCCGCGCAAATCTTGGTTGCATTGCTGTTTATAATTATTCATTTATGGCTTTTAGATAATTATAAATTCGATGGCTTGATTTTAATTGATAAATGCTCTTTTTTTATGTGGGGTTTCTTGATTGGTGAGCGATTAGGTGAATTTTGGAGTTGTCACTTGAGTTGGAAAGTTCAAAACTTTAAACGTTGGCATAACAAGATCTTTTGCATTTTTTGACAAAATATATACTGGATAGACAGGGACTTAAAAAGATTGTTATCAAATGGGTAATCAAGGGAAGTAAACATTTAATACATAGTTCTAAGATACTATAATGACAATAGAATTATTATTGAGCTGCTGAAAGATAATTTTTTAGTAATTTACCTCACCGAAGATAATAGAGTAATATATCTGTGTTTGTTTGTGGGTCTTGGGGCAGTAGGCTGTTCGAAAGTATGGCCTACGCGTATCCAAATTTAGCAGAGATCTGCGCAATATCGTGCATTAGTAGCATTTTTAGAGAGGATTTTGTGTTATCCAGGATGGTGTCGAGGAACTGATGATGCTATAAATATGTTTAATAATTATATAATGCGTTGTACGTAAGTTTGAAATGAAGAACTCTCAAATCTCAAGCTATGTGTAGAAATAGTTAATTTCAATAACCTAGTTTGATAGGTAAGGTGAGAGAAGACAAAGTTGAGATATTATTATGTCAATGAACTCAAGAAAAGATACTTAAATTCAGTTCTGTAGCCAGTATGCTAATTTGTCCATTGCACTCAAACAACAAATACATAAAGTTGGGAATTTTTTTAACTAGAATTGCATTCATTCACTGATGTTCTTCTAATGAAACTCTCAAGGCCTTTCAACCAATGTTTACCTTTGCTGCCAAATTCAGGTCGGTTCTGGATTGCTACTAAGTGTCGTGATCCAAATCCAATGAGGAATCGGAGGAAGATATCTACTTATTGATCTGTTGCCGAACCTGTATCTAAGCGTTTTTCTGTATCAATTTTCCTTGATGGAATTAAAATCTAGAACACAAATTTTAACTCATTTTGAACAAAAAATGTGATATGAAGTGCATCTATGAGAGAGAAGATGTAAGCCATGGGGAGTTAATAGGATACCCAGCCAAAATGTGACAAACGTGCTTTAAAAGGCTTCGAATTTTAACCAAACACCAGAAAGTTAGCATCTTGTGAGCGAGACCATGAAGTGGGAGCGAGAGTGAGAAAACGGAAGAGTCAACTTTGGAAACATTCTTTGATGCATTGCATCACCAGAGTGTTGAAAATTAAGGGGGTGTTTGACACCCATTTTAATAGAAAAATGTGTTTTTGAATAGTAATTGATGGAAGAATGTGTGGTTAAAAAGTAAGGAGGATTTTTAGGTTTATGTGTAATATTATTTTATTGATAGAATGTGTGGTTGAAATGAAAAAAGAGAAAAAGAATGAAAAAAAAATGGGTGCCAAGTGGGGGCTAAATAGAAGATAAATATATAATTGTTTTTGAGAAAATTTATGTGGGCAGGAAAATATTTGTGGGAGAATATATCAAATATTCTATTAGTTTGTGAAACAATCATTTCTTCTATAAAACAATGCATTCCTATATAGTTTGCAAATATAGTAATTTATTTTTCTCAATACTTCATAATTATGTCCTGGAAAGTCTTGCCTGAAGACGGTAAATAACATTATGAATGATAAAGAGCCTGGCATGAAAAATCAAGTGCTAAGCATATCAAGATTTTGAGCTTTAAAAAAGCATGCCAATGCCGGTTGATCAGAGTATGTATAGCTCGTGACTTTATGTTTAATTCTGAAAAGTATTACTCCTAAGAAGAGAATATCTGTCTAGTAGAGTTAGAGCCTGTTTGGAATTGAAGGTATGCAAGTCAAACCTTCTTATAAGGACATTTAGTCATTTATGCTTAAAAAAGATTTCAGTCTGCTGTGTAAAATATTTCAGAAAGAGCTCATAATCCCAAATCAAGCACCTAGAAATTTGCCCTCATAAGCACTCACTATATCTGGCTTGTAAACACTCAACTGAGCACACCAAAATTTCTTTTAAGCATTAGTTGTATACTCAGCTTTTTTTAAAAAGTATTTATAAGAACTTTGGGTTTGACCTATTAAAAGGGCATCTTCCTTCATTTCTGAATTTCCAGTTATACGGTTAAGGAAAAATATAACTCTACTTCCAAAAAAAATTGTTCATCAAATTTAAGAACATAAATCCATAACTCTACTTCCAAAAAATATCTGTTCATCATGTATTCTACCAGAGAATACATGAATACTTNTTTAAACGGTTCACGGGGCGAGTTCGGGGCGGGGCATCTCCGTCCAGCCCTGCCCCGCCTCACGACCCGAGACGGGGCGGTTTTTTCTGCCATCTCTAGAAACAACTTTAACACCCCACCCCACCCCCGAGAATATCACGCCCTTCTGAAAGCACCACAGCAATAGGTCTTCCTCCTTTCTCCACTATCCCTCTCCACTTCCAGCCTCACATCCCCCCCGACCTTCAGCTGGTAGCCTTGACACTCTTCCCTACCACCCCAACCACAACCATCTTTTCCTAATTCCTTCCATCTATGGTCATCCCATCCCCCTCCCAACCTCTAGAAGCCATCACAACCTCTTTCCATTGATCACCAGTCACCCATTTTCTTTCTTAATGATCACATCATCTGCTCGGTTTTTCTCCACTCAACACATCGTCAATGTCACTACAAAAGGGCATTCTTTGAAACCTATATTGACATGTTCATGTGTGTGATGGGAAACGAACTATGTTGTTTACTCTTTATGCTCATTGTCTGTTTTCTATTGCTTTTTCATACAAGAAAATAAGGGGTAGAGACCGTGGGGGACAGTAATTTTTCTTTTGATGTTTGATCCGGACCAGTTTTTTATTTGAACTTATAACATGTATACGTTCGGAGACGTGGCATTTTCAGCTTTTTCTCAAGTTTGCCTTGCACTGATGAGTATGCACATTGGATTTTTATCTCATTTGTATTAGATGTGCACTTTGCAGTGGAAATAAATTATCGTTGAAATTACTGAAAAACTAGCAATATATTATTTGCAAAGGCAAACTTGTCTCTCCTCATTGCTTTTGGTTCATGAAGACTGGAGAAAAGCGAAAAGAAGAAGAGATGATAGAACTGGAGGGACCCTTAGGCAAGAGCGGCGCTGTGAATAAAGAAAATGTCTCTCTCGAGAGGAGTTATCTACACTCCGCAAAAATGGAACAATCGATTCCTTTTGTCTTTATGTGTATGGTCTTGTCCTTAAGGAGAGAGGCAGCGAGCATCTTGCAAGGACAATGCTTGTCGAGTCTGTAAACAGTTATCCTTGGAATTGGAGTGCTTGGTCCGAACTGCAATCCTTGTGCCCTACGATTGAGACGTTACAGTCTTAATCTTAATTACCACTGGATGAAGGACTTTTTTCTTGCCAGTACATACCAAGAACTCCGGATGCATAATGAATCCTTGTCCAAGTATGAACATCTACAAGCAACTTTCGGTTTTAGCAATTATATCGAGGCACAAATTGCTAAAGCTCAATATAATCTGAGGGAATTTGAACTAGTCGAAGTTATATTTGAAGAGCTCTTACGAAATGATCCTTATAGAATTGAAGACATGGATATGCATTCCAACGTCCTCTATGCAAAGGAATGCTTCTCTGCTTTGAGTTATCTTGCCCACAAAGTGTTCTTAACGGATAAATATAGACCCTAGTCTTGTTGCATTATTGGAAACTATTACAGTTTGAAGGGGCAGCATGAAAAATCAGTTGTATATTTCCGGCGGGCACTCAAATTAAATAAAAATTATTTGTCAGCTTGGACCCTCATGGGTCATGAGTATGTCGAGATGAAGAACACCTCAGCAGCAGTTGAAGCCTATCTGCGGGCTGTGGATATAAATCCTTGCGACTATCGTTCCTGGTACGGGTTAGGACAAGCTTACGAGATGATGGGAATGCCCTTCTATGGGCTTAACTATTTTAAGAAGTCGGTATTCTTGCAGCCAAATGATTCTCGACTGTGGATTTCAATGGCTCAGTGTTATGAAACTGAACAGCTTCATATGCTTGAGGAGGCAATCAAGTGTTACAAAAGGGCAACTAATTGTAATGACAGGGAAGCAATTGCTCTACACCAATTGGCAAAACTTCATTGTGAACTTGGTCACTGAAGAGGCAGCATTTTATTACAAGAAGGATTTGGACAGAATGGAAGCTGAGGAGAGGGAAGGACCAAATATGGTTGAGGCTTTGATGTTTCTTGCCCAACATTGCAAATCTAAGAAAAGATTCGAGGACGTGGAGGTGTATTGTACTCGCCTTCTCGACTATACTGGTCCAGTAAGTCATCTTACATTCTTTCATGTACTGCATGTGATATATATTGACTCATATTTGCATATCTTAAGTTTGAAGATTAGAACAAGTTTCTCACTATCTTACCATTTCTTATGCATAAAAATAATACAGGAAAATGAAACTGCAGAGAGTCTTCTTCGAGGAATAAGATATGAAAAGTTGGACGTTGAGCATTTCCCACCCTAAAATTTCGAAGGCCATATAAGTTTGTTTGAGAAATTTTGGTGTGTGAAAGACAGTCAATTCGAATCTTGAAGGTGCAGAAGACGTACTTATAAAAAAAAAATGTTGATTTTTGTCATTAGAACTTAGCTGGTTTTTTTACTGCATAGTTGTTTTAGTTTGATTTCATAAATTGGATGTTGACATTATTAATATTTCTTTTCTTGGAATAAAAAATTTTGTTGGTTGACCATTGGGAATTTGCTATTGAAGCAATGATTTCATGACTTATTTCACATTATTAATTGCTCATGTTAGCACAGGTTATTCGTTTTATATATAACACAACATAATAGTATGTGACAATCTGTTTAGTTTTCAACATCAACTGGGGAAGCAGGATCCACAATTTGACTCTAAATACATCATTCTTGCACACATGAACACATCCCAAACATTACATAGGATAGCAACCAGAAAATGACGACGACGATAGGTATGGACCAATGCAATTCAAGGCAGTAGCTAGTTCTTCTGCGGGTCAGAGAAGAAGCTGTTGATGGACGGCATGATTTCTGGTCGCTTATTACGAACAAATTTTCTAAGACCATGCTCCGCATATTTTTCTCCCTCCGCGAAATTCTCCAATACTCCAGCAGCCCTACCTTGTTTGTTTACCCTGTTTAAAATCATAAGCATCACTTGTCTTTCCTTCTTTAAGCTAATATCAGCTGTGCTCCTGAGCTGACTATAGGCAGTGTAAGCAATTGCCTACGGCCCCGCTTTTATGAGGGCCCCTAAAAAAGTTATTTTATATAGTTCATAAAAAATTACAAACAACAAAATAAGTAAAAATACAATCAATCGAGCCAATTCAGCTGTCCAATTAGGAAACATACTAATCTTTAATTTAAAAAATTTAGAGTTGATTATTTCATATATATATTGTCAATCTCTTTCTTCATTTAAAAAATTAAAGTTTGAACAATTTCAAAAAAAAAAATATATGAAAATATTTTTTATTTTTTCTTTTATTCTAAAAAAAATTGAAGAGTGCAAATGACAAGTCTTTTAAGCGTTGGTGTGATAAGTTTGAATAATTTTTTAAGTACGATGAAAATTTTGATATTGTGGGCAAGAGTTATTGATTAAGCTGCAAACTTGAGAAATTGTTTGCTATAAGAGACAAAAAAGACGATTGAAGTGCTAGACTATATGAAAATGATGAAATGTTATTTTTCAAATGTGTGGAATGCTTGTAGAATATTATTGATTATATCAATTACAATTACACTTGTCGATAATAGCTTCTCAAAGTGAAGTTGATAATTTTACATTTCCTTAACAATGTCATAATAAATGTTGAATGGATTGTTCATGATATTTATTGAAAAATAAATTTTAAAACAGATTGATTGTAATAATATAATTTTTTATTTTCTATCAATAAATCTAGAAGAGTAAATTTTGATTTGAAAATTTAAAAGTTATTTTTATAATTTTGAATATTTTTATTTAATAATAATAATAATAATTTTATTTTTTTTAGTAATAAGTTCAAGTTTCTGAACATTTTGATCTAAAATTTCCGCAATGTTTCCAAATTTCAATAAAAGATACAAAACCTTTTTTTAAGTTTTCGAAACATTCTAGATGCTTCCATACATGATACATCCTACCAGGGACGGATCTAGGATCGAGGTAAGGGGGGTTAATACATAAAAAAAAAAAATTTTACACATGAACTTTTTTTTAAAAAAAAAATTTTTTTGTTTTTTTTCTAACCAAAAATTTTTTTTTTTGGTGGGGGGAGGGGGGCTACAGCCCCCGCCCCAAATCCGTCCCTGCATCCTACAGTATACTTGTACAATGAAATGTATTGAAGACAAAAATTCAGATTAATAATTTGGTGGTCTTTATAATTGTTTAAACTTTTAAAATACATGAAATTGAGCTCTTGTTAGACCTCTGATGAAGAACCAATACTGTGATTGTGTGTGCCGAAGATAAAATTTCACACGAATTTGTTAATATGAGAGAGAGATCAACCTGACTTCAGGATTAATACGCATATTGCGGATAAGCTGGAATCCGCAGATTCCGATTGCAGTTCCGACGGCGGCGAACAGTGGATACACCTATACATACACAAATCGCATCAGAAAAAAAACTTCCGATTAAGTCCATTTCAATTCCACCACTTCAACCAAAAATCTAGGGAGAGAAAGTTACAAACCTCAGGCCTAAACCAGCGACTGGCTGAGGAAGAAGCCATAAATGTTCGAATGTTTCTGCTAGTAGAGAGAGAAAAATTGGGATTGACGATGATCGAGGGTGTAAGGTAAAGGTGATAATCAGACTGACAATTATCAATATTATCCCGACATCTATTTATGATATAATTGCAAGAAGATCCCCAACCTTCAAATCTTGACACCATCATCATCAATCTCTCGTAAATGTAGCTGCACGAGTCCTTCCAGATGGAATCTATCTAAATGGGGTTGTGCTAGATGTACACCAAATCCATTACCTAATGGATTACACCCCCTCACATGGAGGGGGGCCCACGAATAATTTCTTGTGTGTAGGCCCCCCTCCATGTGAGGGGGGTGTAATCTATTATGTAATGGATTGTGTACATTTAGACTAATCCATCTAAATGGATGTTCAATTCCGCTACGTGTGCATTGTTGTTTACATTAACTTTGGCATTCTCTCACTTAGCACCCATTATAATCGTTGATTTTTTAAGTACCCTTTCACATTACTGATCAGATTTTGACATATAAGGGAGAATGTCATCCTTAATGTAAACAACAATATACATCGAGCTTAATTCATGGACATTAACTAGGTATGTGAATAGTACATGGTCAACTTTACTCGAGTGTAAAATGATACTTAATCAAGAAATTTAAAAATAAAATAGAAATAAAAAGCAAACTATACATGATTAAATCATCGTTTCCCCACATTCAAGGTGTGGCTTGTGATTGGGGTGAAGTGTCAATTGTCAGCGATGATTAGGCAATGACAATGGTGGTATTGGAGAGCAATGAAGATGAGGGATTTTCAACCGCAATTCGAGGGTTCTATTACTAGAAGGGTGGAGTACTAGAGAATATGTGTTGATTTTTCGTTTTTAAATATTGCTTTTGTTTATTAATTCAATATTCTTTACTAACTTTTTCCTTGAGAAAAGTTGTGCATGATTTGAATATTGGATTCGTTTATACTTTTTGAAAATATCGGGACACCAGATGCAATTGTCTATTTGTTTACGTACGCACTCTGTATTATTGATTGGAGGATGAAGGAAGCTGATTGGCTGTTCGGGAAAATATGCTGACTTGTGTCCAACACTCCAACCATATCCAATCGTCAGAATCCACGTGTCCAAAATTTTATTCTTCTCTACGTTTCTCAAAATTAATTTCATTTTTGGGCAATGTTTACTCAAAAGGACGTGCCCAATATATTATAGGTTTAAAAGTATATTCTTTTCATTCGTAATCAAAAAAAATATTTTAAAAAAATGAACAAGACAAAATTATGAACTTTAAGGACGTGTTCGGTAGAGATTAAAATCGGATTAAAATTAAAAAATTAAAAATCTTTCATTCTATTACGCAACCTTGTTTTAATGACACTCATAGCTGAAAATGCATGTTCTGTAGTTGCTTTTGACTAATTGATTCATAAATGAGTCATTTGCTTTTGGATTGGATTTTAGCTATTTATTTATTTATTTAAGCAACTATTGAATCTTTTATTTAGGTCTAAGATTTTTGTATGGTTGAATTTTAAAGTGTAAGTTATTGGGTCAATATTTATTAATGGATAAAAAAATTAAAAAATTTGCGGGGGCGAGTCAAAATTTTTGCAGGAGTGAAACTGAAAAATACATTACAAATTAACTAGGAATAGTGGACCACCGGACAACGATCGCCCCCCCTCCCCCTATCTCCGTCTCTGACTAGAATATACTACAGTTTACCAAGTGCACCCCAAAGAAATTAATGGGAACGAATCGTATATGTATTTGGACATGGTAAACAAATTTGGGGTGCATTCATTCTTAATAAATTTGGTGTAGTGCTGCTTTACATTATACCATTAGACATTGTATAACTTTCTTACTAACGTAACATGACTCAAAGTTGGAGAACATCACAGTTTAAATGAGACCAAGAATGAACAACAAGTTTCAGTCCAAAGCATGAAGTTCAGGTAAGTAATTCAGTAAACTGTCACTTTTGTACATCGTTATCTCCCAAGTAAGTAGAATTGTTTAAAAATTTAACATTTGGAACTGCTGAACTTGATTCTATTCAATAGCTACTCTTTTTCCTAGCACCAAGAAAGTCTTAAAGAAGTGCGAGTAAAGGAACATACTGAGATTCTACTAAATTATCAAAAAAGAAAATCCACTATATTTAATCACATAAATGAATAGATAATCATATAAACACCGTGTGCGTGTGTGTAATATTTCTTTAATGATATTCATCTAGAGTTTAAATGATTATCAATCTATATAGCTGATAGAATCACTGTCAATTTGACCAATGAAGTTTGAATGTATTTTTTATGTATTGTCACATAGGCCGGTGATCATCTATAATCTAAACGAATAGAATAGAATATGAATAATGCTATCTAACATTAATGATGTTAGAACATCAACTTAAGTGGTGATGCTTTATAAGTATAATTAAATGAGTCATGTGACTTTACATTTAAATGAATATATCATTTTAGTAATTGTTACCAAAATTGGTGCTTAACACCACTTCCACTGGTGATGAATAACATTACTCATATAATAATATTATTTCTCACAATTAGAGATAATCAACAATCTCTATGGTAGGTAATGTGTTGTGAGATGATAAAGTCAATTAAATGTATGAATATAAGACTCACTGTAGTGACCATATCATTTAATGTCATATCATATGGTGATCATCTTTAACAAAAATAAATAAATTTACTAAAGATGAATATCATGTTTAATCGTG